TGCTAACTTTTGTCGTTATACGACGGAATATTCCTAAATAATCATGAGGCTAATTAAGAACATAATGCTCCAAAAACTAGGTAGCCGGAAAGTGGCAGGCCAATCCAATTTAAATAATAAGAAAGTTATCGGCATGAGACATAGATATGAAGTCCCTCTGTATGAAACACGTGGATATACGGATGGCCGATCATTGTTGACAAAAGCGGCCGTCCCTCCAAGTGGAACCACCCAACAAGAAGAAGAACCCAGAGCTATACATTCATATCTCTATATCATCTACGATCTATTCATATATATCATCTAAAACTCTGTTCTTTTCACTTTTCAGAGCTGCTGCTTACCTCTGGCGCATTGTTTATTTAAGTGGTCGGGCGAGTATGTACACAAGTGCTACACGTAACTTCCCTAGACAGTGGAGCACTATGTTCATCATTGTCTTATAAGCTATTATATTCCGAACAGCATGGATCTTTTCCCTTTGGAGCTGGGCAGCAGCTAGCTGCTGCTGTGGAAAAATCCATGATGGATAAGATATACCCGACAGTGGATAGAGCTTTTATCGCCTAAATTCCTAACGTGGGACCGGATAATTTTCAAGAGCGTGATACGATTTAGGGTTTCTAAAATTCTAGGTCGCGCACTTACTTTTTATCAATACTTATCTAAGTTGGTTCCTAATTCTATGTTTCTAGTTCGGCTTAGCGATGTTTTAAAGGTTTTTCGCGCATGTAATTATGCATCTCATTCTTTTTGTAATACGATTTTGCCCTAGTCAATTGACGTTGAGAAATTTCAATTTGTCCATTCATGTTTGCTTTATTGCAATCCCAATAGTGGAGTCATTGGTTTGAAAGCAGTTCCTGGAATTAATAGAAATAAAAAACAGCCGTTAACTTAATGTTCCTCGCGACAATTGATAAGGAATTGGTGTTTGAAGATCTGGTCCACAAGTTAATACCAAAAGCTCATATAGATGTGAGCCAATGGAGAGGAGATCGAGAAGAAATATCAAAGAAGTTGATTTAACGACCGAGGAGCTTATATCTAAGATTATTTTAATTGGAAAAAACGAGGAACCTCGACGTTTGGAGCTGGACAACGATCTTGCTCGCAGGTCTTATGTAACAAAGATAATCATGGGGAGACTATGAAGAAACTGATGATAAACCAAATGCGACAGAAAGCATGGGATTCGACCCCACAAGATGGGTGACTCCACCCGATAGTTGTGACTAAGTAATAATGACTCTCTTTAGCAAAAAAAAAAAAAAAGAAGGTAAGAATGACTCCCAATATGACGAGTTCAGATGGGCCTACCCGCCGTATGGTGCACTAATAAAGCCTCCACTTAAACCTCCTCTTATTGGAGGAGGCAGCCGTGTTCCCACGTGTCCTCAAATCAATTTGACCATCACTTGTCGTGACTTGCCGCCTGTCCAAATCATGCCGCCGCCTGTCGATGATCACCCATTGGGTAAAGATAAGTTTGTGAGAGTTTGTCGAACCATTATAGACCGTTTCAAAAACTTAAACTATTAGATAAATACGTGATTTAATATTTAAACATTTTAACAAGATTCGCCTATAAATAGTAAACTCCATACTCAGGGTCCTAGACTCTCTTTTTCCTTTCAAAAACTCGTATCACACACTCTCCTCTATGTACTAACTTAAACATCATATAGTCATTCTCGGTCAAAATCCCGAGCGCCCTAACCCGTGTTCATGTGTGCAGGTCCATTTCTTGGCAAAAGCTTTAATAGATCCTGAAGGACTGGATCGTGCACAAACAAAGATCAAGTAGGCAGAACCATGGACATTGATGTTGGGAAATCGAGCAAATTTGTTTGATTATTCTTACAAGTTTGATTGCAAAATTTCTCAATGGAACAATTATGATATGATGTTGGAGTTTTGGTTATGAAGTTAATTATGTAATGAGGATAAAAGCAAGCAAACTTCAAAGTTCCGCACTTCAATATTCAAGGGTGAGTTGTTTCCAACCATGGAGGAATCTTGTTGTTCACACACTCCTGTGTATCGTGTGCATGATGCTAAGTTTGCTTGTATAAAGGTCAATAGCGAGCCACTCGAGGAAACATTACACGAGCTTATTCAAACCCAAAACTTAAAATACATCACTAAGTGATGCGACCAAGTTTAATTGGTTGTTGAAATAAGTGGAATCATTTATCTAATGATTAGCTTGTCTAAAACACATCACGTGGTAGACTAGTTCAAGTAAAATTTCCTCCTCGAGCATTATACTCTCGGTAACTATAGGCGTTACGATTTTGTCAATTATGGCCTCGAGAAAGGTTATGCTAGGTGCAAAGCATTTTTCAGTTGCTTTTCTTCTAGCGTGATAGTACTTTCTTTTTTAATTACATGAGCAGTTGTAATATCGACATAATTAGACGCGTCCGATTAGTAGCACATAAACTAACATATAGGACCGATTGTGTAAAAGGGAGACATCCACTACTATGGGGACTTCACACCCACCCGAAGAAAGATTAGAACCCATCTAGTATTTAACTTAGCAATAACGTATTTGGCCAAGAAATGCATTAATACGTTCTTTCCATGCTTTTGTTGTTGTCGAAGCAACACATGCCAAAACAGTAATTACTTGGGCCAAGTCCAGCTCGATCCACGGGTGCCCTGAGGTGGGATTGAAGAGATGGGCATAAGCCCAGATTTCACTATGAAAGGATTCCCATAATATTGGCTCATGGGCTGCAATGTTTTCAAAGCATCTTCATCTTTTTATCACGAGGCAGTGTCATCGCTTATCCATTACTAAAGCTCTCGTAATCTTTCATCGGCCTATCTCCACAGCAGGCAGAAGGTTTGGGGAGATTCACCTTTTCCTAATTGCTTATGCAGACTGATACCCTCTTCAGTGCTTATGCAGATTGACCAACTAAACCCGCACAATTGCCTTATATGCACTTACTCGTCTCAGTCATCGGTGCACCGTCTTTCTTGTATTATGTTAAGAAAGTCGCCATTTTCGATGCACTGTTTTTCTTGTATCACGTATGATCAAGATAAAACCATTTCGAATCAGTTACCGAGTACTCCTGATCATTCGTTTATAAAATCCTTGCTAAATTTTTCGACGGGATTAAACAACCAAACCATCTTTGAGAGACAAACATCCCCAAATCAAGAATCAGGAAAAAAATAAGAGAAAGAAAGAGTGGACACAGGATAAAGAACCATGAAGCACTACAGTCCTCTCTCAGCATCTCTCTGCAGTCCCAAGCTCCTGACCTTGAGCTGGAGCTGCGCGACCGCGACCAAAACTTTGATGATCTGAGCAGGGGTCAATATTAACGCCACCTTCTCCGCCGTGGTCGCCCTCAGCATGTCCGCGTTCGCCACCACCTTCTCCAACGGCTTCCTCAACCCGCCGATTGCCGAGTCACCGGTGCCACCGGTCATCTCGCCGTCCTGAGCTGCCTTGCCGTACCTCCTGATCGCATTGGCCAGAGGAGGAGCGCCCACGCGCTCCTGGATCTTTGCCATCTCGTCGTTGAGCACTTTCTCTTGCATTCTCGTCTCCGCAACCAGCCTATTTATTCTTTGACTCTGGTCCTCGGTCATGTCACTGACGGAGGACGAGACAAGGCGAAACAAGAGGTTTGGTTTGAAGCCCGCGATCCACAAGAAGGCGCGCTCGAGGCCGGTGAACCAGGGGGGAGAGAACACGAGGAACACGTCCCACCTAGCAACCCTGGACTTCTCCTCAGAGTACTGCTGATAATGGTAGAGGACCCGGTGGATCAGCTCGTGATGATCGTCTTGGCGCGCGGGAGCCGTGTTGGGCCGAGAGGAGCTCGTCCAGGTAGCGTTTTTGACGGACCAACCAAGCTTCAAGAAAGGACTCGAAGGCAAAGGCATTGTGGTTCCTCCTTGATCCCAAAGCGTACATACACTTAGAGAGAGAGATCTTTTCTTCTTTCTGGGTCTTGCCTAGTTAGAGAGAGGGCCAAAGAAATGGGGTCGATCTGACAAGAGAGAGGGGCAATGGGATGATTTATAGAAGCGAGGTGGAGAAGAGGGTGAAGTGATCCTTCCTTTTCTTAGCGGGAAAGGAAGAGCTGAAATAGAAGCCTTGCAAAGTAAGGTTTATAGGGTGAGAGCCTCCTCTCACTCTGATCCGTCTGGTCACAGTGGATAACGAACAGATATTTTAGACTGTGACTACACGACGACGAATTTGCGAGCAAATTCTGAGAAAGCGAGCAGGGCGAGGTGACCTGTATCGTTCTGTGGTATAATTTTGAGGTATTCGAAAGTGGAAAGAGAGCATAAATGGCGTAGAGAGAGAATTGAAGGGACAGAGAGAGGCTTCGGTGCAATTTGTCTTTCTCAAACTGTGGGTGTCCGATTGTCTTTTTGTGATTTGGAGTATCATTCATTACTGTGATCTTGAGCACGTTAGGCAGAGGAATCCTTGCGTGGAGGGTCGCTGCGGTCGAAACTGAAAGGGACGAGCCAAGGCCAAAGGCTAGGTCCGATGCTTTCTCGTCAAGTCCTGGTGGGGGAGCGACACGTGGCCTGCATGCAACATGGACAGATTGATACGAGGGCGTGTGTCCCTAATCCTGATGTAACGCCAAACTGATTGTCGAACCGGTGTGTTGCTTTGTTTGCAACGGCAAAACTTACATTTTTATAAAGCGGCCGACAAGAGTTTGGGAGATTCTTAGGAGGCAAAAGTGCTCCCCGCTTTTTTCAAATGCGATCTTACAGAGACAATTCTCGACGGGTTTCCGAGGAACGACTGATGCTCACCTCGCACGGCCCAAGTTGTTCCTAACGGAGACGTGCGTGTTGGAACAGAGACGTACTTTGTAACTCGGTAGGATTAGGCAGAGATGTCACAGGGCAACCTCATTTAGAGACCCCCGACGATTCAACAGATCAAAGCAAACGCACTTGGTTTCTAAGGCCGCCTTGTCGACCATTGCCGCAGCCGTGTGAGATAAAATAATCGTTCTAAGACTTTAATCTATGGAATGGTGTGATTGTCAATATTTATTGAGATGCAAGTATGATGATAATGATCGAGCAAATCCTAAGTTACGGCGCTGTACAATTCTTTTAATTCGTGTAAGTCAGTGTAGAACTTACAATAGCCCGCACAAGCGAGGTCTAGAACAGAATTGTCTCCCGTTTGCTTTTACCATTGCCATTACTCCAGCAGCCACTCCGGCGCAGAGAACAGAAGTCACGAACTGCTGCGCGTTCCGTCCGGCTGTGTGCCAAAATATAGAAATTAAGAAAACGATAGAGAAAAAAAGTGAAGATGAAGTTCTCCATGAGCTTCTCTTGACATGAAAGCGAAGACAAAAACCACAAGTACCTTGGCTCAGTGTCAAGGTTGTCACTGTCAAACCCCCGACGAGCAAAGCTGAAGCTATGGGCAGATACTACATGATTCAATCGACACGGCAAAGATCATTAGATCGTGATTGCAGGAGTCATTACTTGATCATATTAGCTACTTATCAGGTTAGTGATCGACAGCTAAGGGGTTTGACCTGTTGAGAGTGGAATTAATGGGCATTGCTTTTTTTCCTGCTTTTATTTTTCCAATTTTTCATATGAAAGCTACAAATCCTGCAGCAACTAACTATTCTTCTTCATCCATATGAAGGAACCAGCATTTAGTCCGCAAACGGTGGGAAAAATATAGGCCAAAAGTTAAAATGCACTTTCTTAGAAATATCAATTTCTGCGAGCATCATTTAATCAATGCTCTTTTGACTGTGAGATGCCCTTCTACTCCGTATTTCAGTGGTTAAGTTGTTAACACCAAACAATGCATCAAGAGGACAAAATGTGATCGCTTACCGATAATGAGTCGAATCCATTAAGCTGGAAAGGAGAAAGACCGTTCCTGTTAACTGTATAGTGCCCACTTACAAGATCTATTGCATCCTGTGAAGAAGAAAATGAGCTTCCTCAAGGAAAACCCCAGACGTATTCGAAATCCAAATTAATTTGAGATGAGGAATCCATATTAACTATATAAAGTAGAGAGAGAAGGAAAAGAAGGCGTGCCTGCCGGATGCCATCATGGAAATTGTTCAAGTAGTATCTCGACAGAGCACTCATCCCATCCTTGATTGTTCCAGCTAGAGTCTGTCTTCCATATCTGCATTGGAGCATTGTAGAATCAGACTGCCCAGAGAACAACTTTATGACTACAAAGTTTGTTTATGACCAAAAAAAAACTACAAAGTCTGTCATCAACTACCTAACCAAATCCCCTTTTAGCGCATGAGTCCCAGCGTACTCGAGACTTATGTCGTCACCTTGCTCAGCCCACACTGACAAAGGCAATGGATCAGGACATATCCAACAATCAACCACATCAGCAACTCATAAGCTCATTGCAAAGAAAAAAAGAACTAAGTCCTACATGTTCTAAATTTCCGGTAGTCTTCGTTGAACATGGAAATGCACTCGCCCGAAGTGAGCACTCCAATCTGCCGCAGCTGGTGATTCAGAGACTTCTGGGCCAAAAAACTCTGTAGGGAACAGAATATGCAAGAGACTTGACACTATAGCATTGTCACTTAGATAAGCTACTGAGCAGACAGACAAATTATCTCACATACAAAAGCATTCGCATGGAAGAGATGCAGATGCCCCTATTATATTGTATTAAAAACTGTCTACTTTTTTTGTTAACCCCAAAATGGATTCACCCAGAAGCATAGTCATTAATTTATACAGACACTGTCGATACTATGATTTAGTGCACATCGCCAGACAAATGACCTAACCTGGGTTACGTTAGTTCGATCAAGGCAATCAATACAGTTGGATCTGACAATTCCTTTCTGCTCCTCTAGTATATTTCCTTCCGCATCAATGAGGAAATATCTGCTCAGCTGGAACAATAATAATTAAAACCAGTAGTAACTATAGCCAGCAAGCATACCGGTGCTCTGCCATATTAATCAAGAAGACTCATAGGTATGAAGATTTGCTTTTACCCTTGCTTTTCAAAGTCCTCAGAGATTTGTTCATACAGAAGTTCCAGGTTCTCAAAGTTGCAGCTGCCACAGGCCTGATGAAACTCAAAAGATAAGTATCTGCAATTGCACAGGGGGAAAAGCTTAATTGACCGGATACGAAAAAGCTCCATCTTTGCAACTCATCTTTCCCATGCAAAATATCAGAATAAGCACAATTGAATCCAAAAAATGCTTTAGTCATTTGAGAAGTACTTGGAAAAAGAAAAGAATGTGGAGTTAACTATCAAAAGATGTTCCATAGTTGGCGTAATGGATGCATGTGGCATTTAAGTTTCAGAGGTTGCTCGACCAGTGGCCTAAATTATGATCTCAATCATCTTAGCCTTAAATAGAAAACTTATCTGCGTAATAACAATTACTGCAGTCGTCAGAACTATGCAAGATGACCTAAGCAGAGCACTTTGAGTTCTTCAGTGATGATTCTATATGAAGCTTCACCAAGAACTTGATGTATCAAAACAAACTTATCGCGAATGATTACATCCAAAAGCTCATTCCCTGCTGCTAGAAGATTCTTTAGAGTTTCAATCTCCAAACCGTGAGGAACAAATTCAAGCAGCATTTCGGGTATAGTAGGAGATACACTTCCAACCTTGCTACAGGCCATCCATGAAAAATGAAACTAAAAAGAGAACATATTATGATGTGCTAAGCGCCACATTCAGAATAATTAGGTATCCAACACTTCTTCTAAGAATTCGTGATATTTTTTTTCCATTTTCTTCAAAGAATAGTCATGGTGTTCTGTATTCCATAATTGAGCAAAATGTGACTATTAAGAGAAAGACTTTGTTAAATAGTGCCCTAAGGGCACTTGTTTGGCAACTAATTAAGGAAGCTTTATAGTTTCCAATGTATTATACACAGTCAGTGCCTTCAAAGTAGAATTATTGCAAATAAAGTGTACTAAAAAGTGCCACCCGGGGGCACTTGTTAACAATACCCTCAAAATAATGGTACTTCCAGGTGAAAGAAGAAAAGGTAAGGCAAGGTATGGGCATGAGTTTTCAGCAACCGTCAGAAGAATTCAAATATTTCACCGACAGAGTCCATTTTAGATGGGAAATAAGGCATAAAAAGCACAGGTTAACATGTAGAGGAAGTATATATTAGGCACAAACACCTTGTGATAAAGCAGAATACATGCGACTTAGCAGCTTGGCAGAAACATAGGAATGACGAGAGTACAAAGACATAAATAGAATGTCACCTCGCGTTTGGCAGCTTCTGCATTTCAGCAGCATAAGCTGCACTCAGTTGACCTTCGTCACCATGCTACATCAATGAGATAAACAGATTTAGATTACGACTATATTTCAAAGTGGTGGATAGCAGCCTTGCATGGAGATCAAAGCCTAGTAAAAATGGGTTGTGATCAAGAATTCACTTGTCGTAAAGTTTATCAAAACTAGCACTTGGCTCAGTGGAGTGAAATTTACTGGCTATGGCATTTACCAAAAATTTGACTACACCTCCTAAACCAATAGCCAATTAGGTGTAAAGTCTCATTCCTTCTATGACATCATTCATGAAATCAATCTATGCTTTGTGCTCCAAACAGAGTTAAAGAGAAGAAACTACTCACCTGATCAGTCAAGTCAACTGCAATCGTCTCTCCATATCTTTGGAAAAGATCGTTAAAATGGCGCTCGACAACTTTTGACTGCATAATGTCATATAAAGATGTGAATAAGTATGTTTTATACTTGTAAATGCAGAAGATAACCGTACAGCATCATGGTCCTTTGTTCTTGTAGATATTACTCTCCTTTTTTAGGCGAAAACTTAATCCCTTTGAACGTACCGTTTGCTCGTGATCTATGAGTCTAAGCTGTGGTTTATAGCTCAAATCCACAATCTGCTCCCAAAGAAGTGGAATTGATCCTCGAACCTGTGAATGCAAACAAAATGGACATTAATTAACAACTGGATATGAAAGCTGAAAGATGAAGATGCTTTTCTCACTTCAACGTCACTCTCGACATCCAATTTAATGGATCCATAGATGGTTCAATTATGAATTTCTGGAACCTCTTTGGCAAAATACCAAAGCAAAGACAAGTACCATGCTGGTCATATTCAACAAGCAACCAACACAACCTTAAACCCGTCAACATAGTATTCCTAAGGAGTGAAGCATTCTTTTTGCCTCTAGAATATTTATGATGTTCAGTTAAACAGAAAAGAACTGTGGTGATATCCGTGCTCAAGTTTTACTTTGAGGAGATTCTATTTGGGGGTTATGAAGTTCAGAGGATGTTCTATAGATGCATTGATTTCCATAAGGTCTATTATGCAAGAAACCTACAGAAAGACATTCACCAATATTTTTTAAATGCTAGGAAGATTTTGACAGATGTCTTCTAGTCGCATCGCAAAGTGGTATAGAGACAGAACTGCAAATGGAAAATCTTGCCATTGATGGCCGAGCGCAACTTGATAATTTCCAGTTTCATGCAAGATCAAGGTATTGGACTCTTTTTTTCCATTTAGAATCCAGCAGATCTAGAAGAATTACCTGCAATAAGGAAGACCTGAAACCCTCAATATCTAAAATTTGCTCAGTTTCAATAAAATTAGCAACATCTCCTTCTAGATTAGCACCTCTTCTCCACATTCTTGTTCCTGAAACACCATAATCAGTCCCTAGTCATGCATCCCACCACATATGTAAATCGCAAAAAATATAACCACATCAGACTTACCTAAACGCCTGGTACACCTTCTTGAAATTAACGATATCGTGGCAGGTGAACTTTTGAGCGTCAACTGTGCAACTTGAAAGCTTAAATCTAGTCAAATGAAAACATTATGTCTTTCAAAAAAATAAAAAAAATGACTGAATTTCTCATTCCTATTTTCAGCTATCACCACAGTTTCTAGCTTCCGGATGAAGAGGTTTAAATCTCATCACCCATCATACGATCTCATTAACCCATCATACAAAAGGGCAGTACAACTGGCTGAAATTTACAGCCAAAACACACATGAGCACACAAACCCTCATCTCAAAGCTCATAAATATGTGGGGGAGAAAGAAGCAACAGACTGTTAAGGATATTTCCTTGAAGAAGAGGAAGAATGAACCTATCAAGCTGCACATAGAAAATTTAACTTTATCAGACTGATAAGTATAATTATAGAAATGCATTCATAGATGATCTGGAATTACGATATCCTCACTTCTTAGGGCATGGGAAAAGTGCCTTAAATGGCACAACAAATACTCAATGTCCAGCTTACCTTGTGCTCAATAAGTTCCTCCAAAAGATTCTTGTTCCATACATATTTGGGGTCAGCCTGAAATGCATCTTAAAATCAGAATCTCACATAAACCTAAACAATCTCCTATTTTCACGCATGAGTAAATCAAATTCCATGAGAACTGAAAAGGCTGGTCTACACATATGCACAGTTCGACCTAAGGGGAATTTGATACTAGGAAAGGGCTTATCACAGTAGATTCATGATAAAATTGGAGTTTGAGGACACGATGATCCAGCTGGTTTGCATGTTTCTTGAACGATGGACCGTACAGTGCTTGTGCCAGGAAATCAGGCTTTTTGAAATTGAAAATGAAAATTTGGTTTCTTAAGTTGTCAAATTATCTAAAATGAAGTGTCAAGAGTTACTTCTTCTCCTCCTTACAAATTTGTCTAAAGTATTTGTATGCAAATGCATTTACAGACTCAACATCAAGACTGGTGACAGCAAAATAAAGAATGAAAAGTAGCTTAGTTCTAATAGACTGAAATATATAAATCAAATTGAAGTAACCATGCGAGTTAAAGCATATCGTGCAGACTAAAAGCAAAATTCTCGCAGCATGATTATCATGTTTTGACAGCAAGTGAACATGAAACCAATATGCAAACTAACCTGTTTCCAAATTGGTTTCTTCATCCAACCATCTGCTAACTTAAATCTTCTTTGTAAGCTAACGACAATAGCAACAGGTTACACAATGTGAGCTGAAGTAATTGAATCCAAAAATGTACTGTATTTCATTCCACAAAGCCAATGATCAAGTGCAAAGGATGGTTGGGATTTGTAGGACTTACTTCAATGTGATATCCGTTCCATATGAATAGTATAACCCTGGCGTCGATTCTACTAATTTCAGCAATGTCATGAAATAAGCCTCATCTTTTTTCTGCATGCAAATAGATTACGATTACAATACGGCAAAAATCAACGTTTAATTCACCAGGGTCCTAAGGTCGAAGACTTCACTTCTTGAAAAGTCGAAAGCTTCAAACCCTCGTTGCAGTGAAGAAATCTCATTGACATCACCCTATAAACTGGGAAACCATGAAATCTTCCAACTTCCTTTCGGGAAGTGATGACAAGCATGTATGTCCCTGCAAAAAGAATATAAGTTGCTGAAAAGAGATGCAGACAAACAACTAGTGACCAAGCAATTATAATTCAGAACTGGTTACTTCTAATCCTCCGAGCTAGAATTAAATTAGCTCTAAGTCTATGCCCTCCCCCCCCCTCCCAAAAAAAAAAAAAAAAAAAACCTTCTTCTAACACACAGATGTTTAATCAACAACTGTGCCGTCATAAACGACCTCACGGACAAAGCCTAAGACAACAAGACTTCAACACGTTGAGAAAAACTCGATGCTTATCCTTTCAACTATGCGGAGGCCGATCAATTGCTTGAAAGACAAAAGCAATCTGCTCGGAAGTATTCAAAACGCACACATGTAAAGAACACAAAAACAGAAACACATTCTTGAGTCAAAAGCAAGAGCACCTGCAAGCAATCTGATCGTCCCCACCACGCCGAAGATCGTCGAAGTCTTCGAAGGACCAGCAGAGCAATCATCTCCTGTTTCGCAGATCATCAGCAACTAAATCGATCGCAAGCACAAAAGCATCCCTACTGCCTATCAGTCATTACATTGAGCTCTAGGAATTTCCAAAGGCATACAACAACGACATCAACAAACCAATGCTCGGTAAGAATCGCGTCCTTCACATCCAAATTACCGGCAATCTCATCTCGCGCTTCGGTTCCAGCCGTTACAGCGAAACTAAAACTCAGAAACCATCGACCGTTCCGAAGACGACGGAAATTGCACCGGAAGATCCGGAAGAAGGAGGAAAGAAAAAAGAAAAGAAAGAAACTGGAAAACTCACCGTCGGCGAGCAAGTCGATGCTGCCGTCGCGGCGATCGATGAAGAAGCCATCGCCGGGGGACTCCCTGGACTCGATCACGAACCTGTCGCGGAACTCCCGCAGCTCGAGCTGCTCGTGCAGCTTGAACCCGCCCGACGACGATTCCCCTTCCATCCCGCACCGCGAATTTCAGGAACGTTGCAGAAGGGACACGAAAAAAACAAAAGAAAGATGGAGGAAAAGGATTTTATAGATTTTGACGTCGTCGTCTGCCCCGCGGGAGAAGAAGGGAAGAGGAGGGAAGAGAAGGGAGGAGGACGCCGTGCCCCCAGGAACGACGGAGGAGAATGGTCATAACAACTCGTCACGCCTTCAGGAGACGGGCCCAAAGATTAAATTTTTCGCGTGTTTAGGATGAGGCCCCCCGTGTGCGAAATCTAGACGTGAACATCTCAAAAAATCCCACCCCAGATTGGGACTTTTCCTTTTGATCCCCGGGATAAATATACTAGAAGCCCTAAAACATATCGCAAAAGTACAATCGATTCTTAAAATTTTCAAAACGTATAATTGAAGCCATAAAAACTTGTCAAAAAGTACAATAAATGGAAGGATTTGATTGCACTCTCTGAAAGTTTTAAGATTCAGTTGCATTTTCGCGAAAAATTTTGAAATTTTCGGTACACTTATTCATTTTTTTCCCTAAAGATCCCATTGGAATGACATTTCGTGTTCCAAATGACCCAGACCTCTCCCGACGACCTCGTGTCGATGGTGTGCCCCTTTACTTGCTGATAGAGCGACTTGACATTTCAGAATGAGTTATCGAGTTAGGTTTCAATGGGATCAACGGTGAGATTGCACGTGGTTCGAACAAGAGAAGAGACCCATGGATTGGGACCGCCTGCATCATATTGTGCCATTAATCGTTTCGTTCTGGCGAGTTTTTCAAGGTTTCATCTCTATTTGTGCGAATTCATGCGCACGAAAGTTCTGTTTTTTGTAATTGCAAGTGGGGTTCACTATCCACCCATGACCACGAGCATATAATAGATTCAAAATTTTAAAGTTAGATATCTATTGTTGTCTTTGCAGTGATGCTCTTGGACTCAAACTTCATCGTAAAGAGAGGCAATTATAGACACCTAAATTTTAACAAAAAATTTGACCAAATTTTGACCGCAATCCTACCTTGTTAAAATTACAATAGGGTACAACTGGGTTAATGCTCTGCGAGAGCTTTCCAAGACATCCAATTTAATTCGGATTGGACGACTGGATTGCTGGATATTGTGATTATTGACCGTAGTCGTCCGATCTCGATATGATAGGGAAATTTAAAATTTACACAAAATCAAGTGATGAGATCACGTATATCTGGTCGTGAGCTTTACAATTTACCAAATTTTTGGAATTAGGGTCACCAGGCTTTCTTGATACAAAAATCATGTTGATCGAACGCCGGATAAGAGATAAATAAGCGATCAATGTTGGGTCAAAAGTAAAAGAAATTGGTGGCAGTATGCCTCAACCGCCACATGTTAGTTGCAAAGTCGCAAGGGAGGCCCAGCACCATGCCAGCGCCACGCCATCGGCAGCCCAACGCTGCGCGGGGCGGCGGGGCTAACCCTTCAAAGGGCCAGAACGGCTGTTTTTTTTTTTTCTTTTTTCTTTTTCAAGAAGCAGCATGGCTGTTTGAAGAAGCCATCTTAGACCTTCAAATGGCTTATTCGGATCTCTTGAAGGGTAGGTGTAGCCTTTCGCAAGGCTATTCCAACCTTTCAAAAGGTCACATCAAACTCTTGAACGAATTCTCGTAAGTTTTCAATTTTTTTTAAAGATTTGGTTTGTTTATGAAAAATAAATGATTTCTTAAAACTGATTTCTTGTATCATTTACAAAAAAAATGTATAAACGAAAAATATTTTCACCGTCCACCAAAATGTAATCCGAGATTTAGCTAGGTCAATAAACTTTATCATATTCAAACTTATAGCATTTATAGAAAAATTTCGAGGGCATGGTTCAGGTGCTCTACATAAATGTATTAATAACTTTCTTCATGGTTCAACATTAAAAATTTTTTTAATTTTGATCTTTTTCTTTCCTTTTTTTTATTATCTTTTTTTAGTCTTTATGGTTTTAAGACTAGAATGAACAAACGAATAAAAATTCTGAAATGAGTTCGTAGCATAGTGTAAATACACTTTGGAAATTGTTTTTGCCATTTTGGTGAAGTTGATCTCTTCAAGCCAGGTGCAAGAAAAAAAAATTTAAATTTAAATCAAGGTAGGAAAATAGTGACTCATAAATAATTAATCAGCCTATAAAGGTGTCATTAGATATTAATGCATGCTTAAGAAAGTTAAAGGACAGTTTGGTCAGTTGACATAAAAAGAGTGTGGAAATAGCCACACTTTTTGAGATTTGATTTAGGCATATATGATACTTTGCCGACACCCAAAGTTTTAGGAAAATCACATTCACGCAAACCCAACCTTTTGGTGTACTTCTTATCAAGTTGCTTCAATGTGTTCATCTTAGAAATCCCACAATATCTCACTTTTAAGAGAATTTGTCACAAGGGAGAAATCATGCTCTTGATCAGGTCTCTAATAAGTAAATTAATTAAGTGAATGATCCATTACAAAAACACATGTAGTATATAGCTTCAGGTAATAGTTAGACTAATCTCTTCCTTAAACAAGCTAAAAGACGGAAAGGAGCAATGGGTGGTAACTGGTAACAACCTCCCTGGTGTTAAGTTTCATGCCTATAGAGCATCCAATTTGAGCTACAGCTACTGTTTGTGAGGTCTACGCGCTAGACGGACACCCCTGAGCCTATACCTCAAATGGGTAAGCCCGTCACTAACTTGAGCCTATACCCCAAATGGGTGAGCCCGTCACTGCAACCTTACCAAATGCTAACGACGTAAGAACCTCTTCATTAATATCGGGTTTGCAAGGACTACTATCGTAAAAGGTTCAAAGTCGCAACCGCCAAAGAATAGAGGGAAGAAAGATCATCGATCATTAGGTTACTAAATTCGATATGATAAACCGCAATGAAATAGCCGATGAACCCCGTTAAGTGTCATGTCCCAAAAGCAAGTATTGCGTTAGCTAATCCTCGGATCAACCATCAGGTGTACAAATCCGATGAAGAATGGAGCCAACGGAAAAGGCAAAAACAAGATAGTCCGAGGGATTTAGGTACGGTCTTCCTCCATTGCTTGGAAGAGCTTCATGTAGAGCACTACACTTCTATACAAACTGCGCTTACAAGGTCATGGCACTTGCAAAGATCAATCAAATATATAATGAACTCTCATCAGGTAAAACATTACTCCAAGATGAAACGGCATCCTGAGTGACCCTTCCAGCAGTGCAAAAAATGGCATGCTTCTAGTCTCTTAGAATCCCTCTTACATTTTGTCAGAGAATTGACTCATAGGATTAGTAGCAATATGTAGGGAGAAACCTTACCAAGATCGAGCTGAAGTAGGCAAGAGGAGAAAAATTGACCATACCTAGACAACTCACTGAGAGAGAAATTCTCTTCAATCTGCTTCAGTAATAGCTTACATTATGAGCTCTCTGAGTATTAACTTGCTATATCTCATAGACTGCCAATCCCATCCACCAAAACTGGTCCAACACGAAAGCAGTCACAAAATTCTATGCTTTACTTTTTGAACAAGCCAGAGAGCTCACCCTTATCGTACATAGAGCTCAAGATGTCACAGCCCCCCAACAATTCGCCATCCACAAAGACCTGTGGAAATGTGGGCCAATTACTATATTTCTTCAGTGTTTCCCTCAAACCATAGTTATATTCTTCATCGAGCACATCAACACTCTCGTAATCCACCCCTTCGGTTTCTAGGATGGCGATAACCCTCTGCGAGAACCCACACATCGGAGCACTTCTTGATCCTTTGATAAAGGCCACCACCTTGTTCTCCTTGACCAGCCGATCAATCAGTTCCTCCAGAGGTACGGTTAACTGCATGTGGCGGCCAGGTGTGAGGCGAAGATCGGGCTTCTTCTTGGTCGGCTGCCGAATCCACGTGGTATTTCCTGACTCATTTCCAGGTGGCACCTTCCCGGTGGCTGTCATGTGTTCCTCCATCCATGATTTCCACGCTTGAGTGAGAGCCACTCTATCAGGTTCATCAACAACACCAACCTGAAAAGGTATATCAAAAGATTCAGAACTGACTAATATCATTCAATCAAAATAAAGAAACTCACAATCCAAATATGGAGCCAAAAAGGAAGTATCCCAAACAAAAAGCTTCAACTTTTACCAAGTTTAGTTGACTAGGCTAAGTACTCTTGTTGCCAAGCTCAAACAATTTTTATGTTTCTTATTCTCTGATTCTGCTCTATTGAGCTAGAATAATGGTGTCATCCCATAAATTGTATTTAAGATCATCTAACAATCTCAGAGATAGGTAAGCCCATAATGCTGGAAAAGTTCATGTCCTCCCTCTCATCCCTCTGTATAGAGCTCAGTGTATTTGGATTTAATCCTCTTCCCTTAAGAATTGTAAGACCATTAATTAGTGCCATGTCCCCATGCTAATACCTGAAACCACATAAAACTTGGGAGATGTAGAGAAACGGATGGAAGCCCCAACAAGAACACTAAGAATCACCAGAGATGCAGTGTTCTACACCATGTGACATGTCACCACATGTCTAGGAGTAGGCACAGACTTCTTTTTATATAATCATGAAAGTTTTTTTTTTGGTCCAATAATCATCAGAGTTGATTAGGACTATTTCTTATCATATCATGTTTTCATATCCGATGCATATTCTCTACTCCATACACAGGATACCGACTCGGACTTGTTGCATTGTCCACCTGACACTAGTGACATATTAACCATATCCTTCGAATGAACTATTACCAAGATCGATGTGCCCTACAATCTATAATACACCACCTTTTCCCCCCTGATATGTTCTAGCATCGAGATTAATTGTATCTCACGGCCCAAAATCCAAACAAAGTTTTAAAGGACTAATGACTAACTGATTACATCATCCTGTTAGACTATCCTAAAACCCATCTAATGCAACATAAACCTCCTAAAATTCTTTAAAACTGTAACTCCATGACTTCGTCTTAGACCTGCTAGAATCAGTTCAAGTTGGTGTACTAACTTAAGCACCGTCTAACTGCAGAAAGTCCTGTCAAAAGCAATTCACATGATCCAAAGTTCTTAAGATTTCACTCGCTTCTACCCATTTGTACATAATGAAGTCCAGTCTCTTCGCGATGGAATTTAAATAAAGGCGAAAGCTCCAAGGTTGCCCAAGAAAGAACAATGTCAATCTTAAGTTTCAACATTAACTTCAGAAGCGAGAAACCAAAAAAAAATTAAGCTTTAATTCGAGGAGTTGATAAAAGAACAACCTTCCATCACATTCACGCCGTCAAAAATAGTCACTTCAGCACACTTCATGGTTACGATAGACAAGCAGATTCATAAATGCTTTGCCAATTGCATATCAGTTTCAATCTACCGCCAGCAAATTTCATAATTTTCTGTTAAAACAGTACCTTAACGGAACAGCAGAGCTCGGGGACCGATCTCCGGTGACCGTCGATGCTGGCCGCGACGTTCCGCGAGATCCCGACGAACTGAAGCTCGCCCTCGCCGTCGTACACGGCGTAAACGCCGGAAGCGGAGGGAAATCTCCGCGCGACCTCCCCGGAGTCGGCGGGCACCGGCGCGGGCTCGGTGTTGGAGAGGCCCGCCAGCGCGGCGGAGACGCGGGAGGGGCGAGGCCCGGCGGGGCGGCGAGGCGCCGCGGGGAGCGGGGAGAGGAGGACGCAGGGGGGCTTAAGGTGGGAAGCAAAAGAAAGGGTAGGAGTAATTCTGGCTCGAGGAGGGTGCGATGAGCTCGAAGTGAGCGAACGGAGAGGCGAGGAGGAGAGGCTGACGGTGCTGGTGGCCATCGTCGGAGCAAGTGTTGTTGCAGTTGCAGGGGAAGAAACTGCAGACCGAAAACTCTGATAGAAGAGGAAATGAAAAAGACAAAAAAAAAAAAAGAAAAAGAAAGAAAAAGGTAACCCAGGAGAAGAAAGTTATTGGGCCCGGCCCACTTGGTATTGGGCCAAGGAAAATGTTGGTGTCGAATCGCCAATTAGAGATTTTGAATAATCTCGATGACATTTTAGTCTAATGTGTGATTTTTTTAATAAGATTATCATGAACTATATTGATGACGTAAGGAAAAAAAAAGAAAAACTCAAAAATACTAAAGCATTCTTTGAGCCACCTCTTATATTTCTTTTCGAGTTTCTGATAATTAATATTCTTTTTTCTATTTTGATGAAAAATATATAAATACCACTCGTACGGAGTTCTTGTGGCCACCCAAACAAATATAGAATTTTCACTCCTAAAGCGAGATGAATGATCTTGATGGAGTGCCAAAAAGTCTTATTTATAGTTGGATGTAAAACTTATTAGGGTCGGGCCAATTCCACTTGGAAACGGGCCCAACTGTCCTCACTTGGCCAATTCCAAGAGGATCAATCTAGTTCCCGATTCCAAAAACAAGGAACTGGCCTTGATCGGTTTGATTTCCTGTTCTATTTCTTGAACTAGCTGGTTCCAAGTTAGAACCTGTGAGGCCGGTTCAGGGTTAGAATTGGAAACCGAACTAATTTTAAATCGGATTACCACTAACCCTAAGTAAGTTCTTTTACTCTTTTTTTTCGACATAGAAAATATTTATTGAAATTGAATATGTTTAATATATAATCCTCAAGTAGAAAGAATTATATTAATGTTTTACTCATGCATGTTGTGTGTGTATATATTTACATGAAGATAAAAAACCCAGCTGGTTTCGAGGTCAGCATGGCAAGTTGTGACAATTAAAAAAAGAAAACTAGGATTGAATTGGCATAAGTACAATAATGTTTTGGATTGATTGGGTAATTTTTTCTGAAAAATCTATATTTTGATAGCATTTGTTAACTTGTGACAATTAGATGGATGGTCACGTGATGCTTCAACTTTCAATAGCGCCAGAGACTTTTTGGGCTTTCTATGATAGACTCTTCAACTCTATGCACGTTGAGTAAAGTAACAAAGAATACACAGGGCTGTGCTTTTAGAGACACAGGCGAACGTAAGAATCAATAAGGTTTGGAGTTAAAATCCGCGCTAGTAATCTTATCCCTTAATTCTTCATCCAATTGCACGGATTGGATTGTGCCCTGGTTGGTCATTCACTGACCAATGATGACCCCTCCTCCATTTACTGACCCCCGATATGTCGACTAGCCAAAGCAATTTCCAGACAGCCAGCCCAGGAAAGATGAGTTACCAGCAAAGGAATGAAGTGCCTTCTTGTATGTTCTTGTGCGATTGTTGGGGATTCGATTGGTAGAGGAAGTCTTTTTTAACCACGGTTTGACATAAGCTTGCTCTGATCGAGATCTTTGGAGATGATTAGTTACTATAATTCGGTAGAGGAACTTTTGGTCACCTGAGTCCCTGGGTGACTACTCACGCTGTCCTCGCTAATATTTGTTGGTATGACTTTCGCGAGCGCTCCATGTGTTCGTTCGGAGAGAGAGAGAGAGAGAGAGAGAGGCGCAGGGCAATGACAAAGTGCAGTGTGGAGGTGACCAAAGACAGAGGACGGAGCTATGAATTTCATTAGTTTCCTTCCACCAGTTGTTAACTTGTGATAGTCACGTGATGTTTCGATAGTACCTAAGACTTTCTCAGCGTTACAAGATAAACTCTTATACTCTATGCTCGTTGAGTAATAAGTAAAATTTAAAATACAAAGCGATGTGCTTTTGGAGATAGTGGCGAACGTAGAAATTAATTGGATTTGGAGCTAAATCAGTTTGGGAAGGGAATGCGGTGGAAACCTGAGCTTTAACATTAGAGATATGAGGCCACAATTCGTTAAAATTCTTTTTCATTGTTCAGTGTTGGCTTTCAACTTAGTTTTATAAACGTCATTTCCGAATTTATTCAATCCTTTCATTATTTCTTCTACGTCGGCACATCCGATTCAATCGACCTGAAGCTGATATGGCATCATGGCATTTTCATGAAAAAAATCTTCCACCGAAAGGACCAGCACGAACCAAAAGTAGAAATGTTTGGAGACTAAATTTAAAGACTGCATTTGCAAGGCACACCCCCCCACTTTGGGTTCGACAGCGATCCCGCGAGTGCGTGAGTTGCAACGTTCAGATCAATAGGAGAACATCAGCCCTTGTGGGAATGTGCGATCAAGAGGTCTGGAATAGCAAAATAGCAAAACCCTACATTTGGTGAGCCCCTCGGATATGATTTTCTAGTGCAATATTCCTCGGTGCTTTCATCATTTGGTCGACTAGTTTAAGCTAATTCCTAACATCCTGGCCATGAAAGATGTGTTACCAGCCAACCATTGTAAGCGTTTCTTGTGTATTCGTGCGTGATTGGTTGGGGACTCCATTGGTAAAGGATGTCTTTTGTTTTTAACCAAGTAACCTGCTAATAGATATGGAGGGTCCGAACGTTTGACGCGGATATTGAGGGCGCGTTTGGCAACCGGCCAAATAATAACTATTTCTATTCTTTTGTTCCCAGAATCAGTTTTGGGACAGAAATCCGTTTTTTATTCCCGGGCACAAATTTGCAAAAATTTGTTCCTAGAATCAGTTTTGGAACAGAATCAAGAAGCAAAAAAAAAGTTAATTCTTGATTCTAGAAACAAGAATAAAAAATGAAAAATAATAATTTTTTTCTTCTTCTTCTTGGCCGGTGACCGGTCATAGGCTAGGGCCGGCGAGGGTGAGGGTTGGACCCTCGTTGCCTGGGCGAGGGCCGCCCTCGCCGGATCTGGAGAGGGCGGCGGCGAGGGCGGCCCTGGCCTGTGATCGGTTGCCGCCGTCGGCAACCTGGCCATGGCTAAGGAAGGCGAAGGGGGGAAAAAAAGAGAAAGAAATATTAAAAAATTCAAAATATTATTAAAATATTATTAATAAAAAAAAAATTTGTGCGGTTACCAAACACATTTATGTTCTTTTTCTATTCCAAAAATAGAAATTTTGGACAGTTATCAAATGCCTTCAAATGCTTAAAAATTGTTTCCAGGCACGGAATAAAGAAGAATCATTTCTGAATATAATTAGTTTCTGGAAACAGAATGGTTGCCAAACGCACCCTAACTAATCCGAAAATTGGGTTGGCTTAAAAAAGGATCAAGGGTTTATAAATTTAGGGCATATTGATATTTTCAATTTATCATCTGGAAAAGATGATACACCGATGCAAGTAAAATTAGATGTCCGATATTGACTCGTTTCTTCTCTTCTTCTTCTTTTCTCTTGTTTTCTTCTTTCCTCTTTAGCCGTACGTCCTCGACCCCACAACCAGTCCACCGCCCTACTCGATCGTAGCTATTCCACCTGAAACCTATTATACGGCTGCCAATTCGATCCTAAACTTTCAAATTTTGCTAATGTAATCTTAAACATTTGTTCAAAATTCCAATGTAATCCTTTTGACCAATTTCCACTTGTTATTGCTAACGTGGCGTTTAGTCATCGCCGACCGTCGTATGTAACATGCGGATGTAGACAACTCGTGGGTCGCCACGTCAGCGATTTCCAAACAGTAATTGGCCGGAAGAACTATATTGGAACTTCATGCAAAAGTTTAGGATTACATTGGCAAAATTAAAAAGTTTAAGAATGAATTAACATCCGTACAATCGATTTAGAACTGATTGGGTAATTTTCCCCCCGATTAATTCACATTTGATTACATCCCAATTAAGATTTCAAAGCCATAGCATCCAATGAGAAAGAAATGGACATCGACACTTGCTCTCGTTTTGACCCTATTATAACGAGTTCTGACTTTTTTTTCTGTCACAATACAATCCAGACATTTTATAAGCCTTCAATTGCTAATTCAGACAAGTCCTGTATAGGAGGCATTCATAACTAGCTCAAACCAGAGGCATTAATTTTTTTAATTGCGCATCATTCATGTGGCATTAATTAGAAAAAATTACTCACTTCTCTACTCGTTGATCAGGTGCATTATATCTTATACTTTTGTGGTTGTTGGGTCCGACCCGAACTAGGGTTTGAATTTCTTCTGAATAAGAAAAGTAATCGACATTGTCCATGACTAGAATAAGGATGCACACCCTTCAGGAGATCAACTCTATCATTCTTATTTGAATGAACGCTTGTGGGATTAAATTTCCCTTTTGCTTGTTGGAGCGAGTGTATCGATATTTAGTCGGTTGTTGGAAAGAGGAATACGAATCATAGTAAGTTGGCATACTAAAAGACCTAGCAAGCAATAAAACGCAAAAATAGGGGCTCAAGGGCTGGTCGTTCCTGCCATACCACAAAAGGCAATCCGTACAGGGGCAAACCGGCGACTTTTGGACCGCGCTCCGACCTTTCGAGTCGAGAGGTTCGGTCCCCTCTATGTTCCTACGTCACAAATGGGTTATTGGAACATGAACGATTACACGAACGCGAGAACATAAAACTAGCAGCAAGCACTAGAATCGATATCGCATATGGATCGAGGATTGAATCAATCTATGAGCCAAACAAACCCACACTCGAATTCACAAGACATAGAATAGCAACCTAGAGGACTTAATTAAATGTGGATCGTTTATCATGGCCTCGAATCTCAAACTCGACAAAAAAAACCGAGATAATTGGAACGGAGAATTATAATAGTATATGTAAGGAGCTTCGAGCACGGTGTATGACTTCAAGTGCTCGACTTAGGGAAGCCCTTGGGACACGAATGAAGACTCTGAAGCACCTGTTTAGACCCGAATTGCACAAAAAAAAACAGCCAGTCACTACTGGTTGGGTAAAGCAAATTTCTCGTCTGGCTTGTCTCGAAAGCTTTGGGATTGATATAGACACGAACTAGGGGTGTGCAAAAGAACCGGGATCCGTCCGGACCGCCCGGGACCGCCCAGAGCCGGACCGGAACCGGTGGTTCCCAAGGGAACCGGTCCGGTTCCCGGTTCCAATTTTTTGGAACCGGTGGGTACCGGTCCGGTTCCCGGTGTGGAACCACTCACCCCCCACCCGGACCGGACCGGTAATATAATAATAATATATTTAATTTTTTAATTTTTAATTTAAAAAATCTAACCAAAAAAAAAAAGGAAAATAAGAGAGTTGTTGTTTTGTTTGATTGCTGACTATTGTGAACTTGTAACAAACTCCCATGTGTGATATATAATATAAGCTACTGATGTATTTGATATGAAGCAAAGTAGCGTGTGGTGAACACAATCGACTAACGAGCAAAAATTAGACCAGTCCATTTTTTGATTTGTCCAGGAAAACTTAGTGGGACTGGTTCCATGGACCCACCCGGGAACCGGCAGTCCAGTTCTCGGGTGGGTCCATGGAACCGACGGGCGGTTCTCGATTCCAATTTTTTGGAACCGGTCCTTAGCTGGCGGTCCACGGTTCCGGGGTGGGAACTGCCCACCCGGACCATGCTCACCCCTAACACGAACAATGACCAAATAGACACCATAGTGATCATCTTCTAGTCTAGTCTCCAACGGCGTATTCTCATTCGTAGATATCAAGTATATAACTCCAGTACAACCTGATTTCTGCAACCGTGTTGGCAGATCCTCTGTTCCGCCCAACAAATCCGACTTGCTCTGTTTTTGCTCTCAAATTAGGAGTGACCGGTTCCCGGGTTGGGGTGATTCCATTTTATAATAGGGTAGCGGACCGGACCGGATCGGTTGGTTCCGGTCCGATTACCGGGTTAGACTGGTCTGGTTTAGGGTTTTGGCAATTTCATTTTCTTTACTCTTTAAAAGAAAAGGAAAAAAAAAACATATAGGTTCGACCTAGTCCAGTCAGTTTGGGCGGTTCGGTTCCATACCTAAAACCGAGAAATTGATCGATTATTCCCAGTTCCAATTTGGAACCAAAAACTGCCCACAATCGGCAGTTCGATTCAGTCCGATTTCTGTGTACACCCAATTTCCAATCGATACTTCCGGATGTTGTTTTGATCTCTCCTTTTTGCACACTCGATTTTATTGTCTTAAGATGCTCTCCTCCAAGAATCGGACGAAAATTGTCGTTTTCGTGCGACTGCATAGTCTCCTCTGTTCCACGAGATCTCTCTCTTTTTGTCTATTTGCCCCCTGTTTTTTTTTTTTTTTTTCGAATTTTGTTTCTCTTAAGGCCAGATATCCCCCCCGGCAATCCTAGATATCTCATAACAGGTAGAAATCACCTTTTTCTCTTGATCCACAAATGCTAAAAAGTACAAACAATGATTACATTTGATCAAACAGGAAACGGGTGCTGCCAAATTCTCATGCTGGCCAAAAAATAATAAAGATTCTCCGGTGAATAGGGTTCCTATCCATTATTAGATTACCACCAATCACGACATGCTTGCTACAATTGCTGACATTTGCTCTTCTTAGCCTCCACATATCTTTTTGCTATGTTACATTTTGATGGTACATTGACTTAGTTCAAGCGTACCTCGACTGATCAAACCCCTCTTCAGACAAAGTCAAAATCAGGTAGTACATGCGGCGAAATTTTACTTGGACGAGTTCAAACGTTGAGAAAAGAAGATATCTAAGTCACATCACCCAAACATAACTGCCCAAAAAGGTTTATGCATGGTTCAAAAAGTAGTTTTTATTTAGAATTGCACAATGCATGATCATAGCATATCTACCACAGAGAAGACCTAGTCTTGGACGGCAGAGAGAGAGAGAGAGAGCTTCAGTTGCGTATCCACTCTACAGAAAACTATCTCCCGCCCACATTCAGTTGAATCAATTCTATAAAAGGTTGGCCGTGATAGCAATGGCATGCACAGTGGTTGGGATCATCATGTAGCTTCCTTCCTCCATTTGCAAAGCGAGGGAAAGGGAGAGGGGGGGAAAAACACGGAGGAACCCCAGGATGTGATCCTTCCAACCTACTTCCTCTAACCACCATTGGCCACAATTTTCAATCCTCGACCCAACCACCCGTCGCTTTAGCTTTACTGCTACTCCATGACCTATAAAATAATAACCTCCCCGTAAGAAAAGACCCAGCGCGACTCACCTGCCTTCTTCTCGATCACTTGATTGAAGTCTTCATCCATTCTGTTGTTTCTCTCATCATTCTCTTGTTTCTTTCTCGTCCTTGATTTCAGACTCTCTCTCTCCCTGTGCCCTGAGTCCAATGGGCACCACCACAACACTCCCTCCTTTGGCCACGGTGAAGCACTTACACTACAGGGGGAAGCTACCTCTTTCTATTACAACCGTCGTGATCTGCACTCTCGCGTTCATCGGTCTCATGTACTCCAAAACGATCAGCCCCTTCACTTCCAAGCTCAAGTCCTGCTCTAAAAGAGACTCCTTAATTTCAAGATCCGGTAAATCTCATGGAACGGGCAATGAGGAGATCATTGTACTTTCTTCAGTTCGCGACATCCATGAAACGACCAGAGTACCCTGATGTTGTGATTATGATGCCTTTTTTCTGGGCCACATTGCAGGTGAAAGGGACGGAGATAAAAGTGGTTACGACCCGGAATTGGATGACAGGTTCGAGTTCGACCCCGAGGAGTGCAGCGTGGTGAACGGAAAATGGGTGTTCAACAGCTCGTACGAGCCTCCCTACACGGACAGAAGCTGCCCGTATCTCGACTGGCAAGTCTCATGCGTCAAGAACGGCCGGCCTGATACCGATTATCAGCGCTGGCAATGGCAGCCTGACGACTGTCTATTGCCCCTGTAAGCAATTCATCTCTACATGCATGCAACGTCCTTATACAGTGCAGTATGCATGATCTCCTGTGGTGGTAAAAATTGAAGTCAGAGTTTGCAGTATGAGGTTTAATGCAATTTTTGCAGATTCGACCCAGAGAAAGCACTGAAGAAACTTCGTGGGAAGAGATTGATGTTCGTAGGAGATTCACTTCAAAGAGGGCAATGGCAATCCTTCGTGTGTTTGGTGGAGTCCATCATACCAGAAAACCAGAAGTCCATGAAACGAGGTCGGGCACATTCAGTCTTCAAGGCAAAGGTATTAAGTTGATGATAATGTTAGGTACAGTATATGAAGATTGGTCTACCTGCTTGGCATAGGCTAACTAAGAGAAAGATTGTAAGTTGGTATTTAAATAAATGGATTGCATTCGATACAAGTTTGTAAGCTAATCTCAGAATGCTGAATGTTGTTCTTAACTTGATATTCTATACTTCACAGATTAAAGTCCAGACTCGTGCGAAAGTTATAGCAAAAAGGATTTTTCAAAGACATTAGTCATACAAATCAATACGATCTATATACATAAACTCACTTTTACCCAAGTTGTGTAGGAAGTACTGTTTCTAAAATAATAGACTAATTTGGCTTTTTATCTGTGATTTGTGAGCATGCTTTGCTTAAAAGAAAATGAAGTTTTCTTCAACTATAATTTTAGGAGAGTCAGTCATGGGATTTCTTGGATGATTTTCTAAGCTTAAATGTAGCATTGCTGAAGAATAATGACATATGGATGACAATGACATTCTCCAATCTCTTCCGACAGGAATACAATGCTACAATCGAGTTCTACTGGTCGCCATTTCTGGTGGAGTCCAATTCCGATCTGCATATCGTAGGCGATCCGAAGAAGAGGATTCTGAAGGTGGACTCAATCATGAAGCATGCGAAATACTGGACCGGGGTCGACATCCTCGTCTTCAACAGCTACGTTTGGTGGATGACCGGACTCAGGATCAAGTCACTGTAATGAACTAATTCCTCTGTTTTGGACCGATCACCTTTCGAATTGACTCTTTATCCTCTGTTCAAAAAAGGCAAAAGAATGGCCTTACACGGTTCTTGTCCTTTTCATGAGCTGATGCAGATGGGGTTCATTCGCCAACGGCGAAGAAGGGTACGAAGAGCTGGACCTGCCGGTTGCTTATAGAATCGCCTTGAAAACATGGGCCAACTGGGTTGATTCCACCATCAATCCGAACGAAACCCGGGTCTTCTTCACCACTATGTCCCCGACACACATGAGGTCTCTCAGACAAGCACACATTCATTTCCAAATTCGTTTGCGATCACATCAATTGCTAACAGCACATGTCCTGGCTCGATGCAGAAGCGCGGATTGGGATCACAAGGATGGCATCAAGTGCTACAACGAAACAAAGCCGGTGATGAAGAAGAACCACTGGGGAACCGGCTCCGACAAGAGGATAATGAAGGTGGTGTCCAGCGTGGTGGAGAAAATGAAGGTCCCCGTCGCTTTCATCAACGTCACGCAGCTCTCCGAGTACAGGATCGACGGCCACTCGTCGGTCTACACCGAGACGGGAGGTAGCTTGTTGACGGACGAGCAAAAAGCCGACCCGCTCCATCACGCGGATTGCATACATTGGTGCTTGCCCGGTATCCCGGACACTTGGAATCAAATATTGTACGCGCACTTGTAAGCATGGGTATGGGATCCATGGCCCAATGTCCATGTGTTCCCATGACCAGATATTGTACGAGCTCGATGGCCATAGATAGCGGTCGGAGATTGCGGGGCGGCGGCCGGTGGCAGTGCATGGTGGTGGGTGGAGGAGGGAGTTGGGCTTTGTGGTGGGTGTTGGTGGCTTTGGGAACTAGAGAGCAAGCGGATTGAGGGGCGCGAGGGTTTGAGTGCTTGATTTTTTTCAAAAGAGTGAGGGCAATTTGATCTCATTGTTTTGCAAATATGTATATTTTTTAATAAATGTTTTACAAACAACTCCCTCCTCCATGAGTAACTAATGAAGAGCGATGCTAACATACTAACTTTTCTTCCTAGATTCTATTTAAACAACTAGATAAGGATACATTGGATTTTTCTATCAATAAAAATTAAAATAAAGGTGATTGACTTGTTCAAATCAAAGTCATCCGTTTTAAAAACAGGTCGGTTAACCGATATCTATATAGTAAAATATGAAAATTGCACATTCCACTAAAAAAAAGTTTGGTAGTTAAGTGGTTATGCTTGAGAACTTTGGTACAATTCTTGATGGGTGCAAAAGTATACTTTTTATTTCTAAAAGAGGGGTTTAAAACAGATTTAGAATCAGTTTAACTCGAGAATTATATTGCTTGAACGGCTCCGAAGCCGGAATTGGGAACCAAACCGGTCCTAGGCCGGGTTCCAAACTCATGGACCCCGAGACCAAAATGGTTCTCTCTACAATCAGCCTCGAACCAGATCCGGTGCTCATCTCTTAGTCTACGTTACCTAATCCGAAAGCATCGAAGTCTCCAACGTCTAGAAGGATCATTGCATCATCTAAAAGTACGACATAGGCAACTGCGAATATATGGGCCAGTCGAGTTCGAGTAACCAATATCTTGGAAAGAAAAACGAAAAAGGCAAAAAGAAAGAAAATTGCAAAAAAAGAGAAAAGAATCTGCGACCCTCGCGATCAAAACCTGCAGAAAAAATCTGGAGGTACTAGGAGTCAGCTGCCGCCACGTATACGCGATGATTTGTTGCCACTCTTCACTTTTTCAGTATTTACCTCTCGAGTCCTCCAAACTCTTCCTATTTGCCACCGTGGGTGCTCGGCCAGCATGCTTTTAAAAGGTCCCCCCCCGTTCATCAGCCTCCGCCCGTGCCTGAAACCTCCTCCTCCTCTTTCTTGCGCTATTTGCTGCTTCGTTCGATGTTTCTGTGGTTTCGATGCTGCTCAGGTTTTCTCTTGTTTCTTTCGACGATGCGATTGTTTGTTGTCGGTTTTTTGGTCTGGGCGTCGCGGCTTCGACTGTCTTGCCATCAGGACCTTGATCTGTCGCAGTGCCTGATCGGTTCGTGACCATGAAGCGACATAGACATCTCGCGTCTTCCGCCTTCTTTGCAGCGCGAAGCATCTGTCCACGCGCTGTCCGGAGGGAAGATCGAGAGAAATTTGGCCCCCGTTTGGCCCCCCAACTCTTCTTCCTTCAAGAGATTTACAAAGTCTTTAGCTTTTCCATTGATCTGTTCCGTCTTCTCTTGCCTTTTTTTTTTCCTTCTTTGTTTTCCTATTTTTTATTCCGTTCTTTATTTTTGTGGTTTGTGCATCGAACCTGAGATTTTTTATTTTGGTATTTTCCTGATATATCGTAATTTATGACGTTCCTGGATGTTGATGTGTTGTGATTTGACGGAGGGAATCTAGGCTCCTCCACTCCAGCAGTTGTGGTGTACCAATTCTCCACGAAATCGACGCTAACTGAACAAATTGTCGAGACTCACAAGCAAACGAGCACAAATATGAGGAGAACGTGAACGTACGGTGGAAAATGAATTCAAGATTCGGGACGAAAATGGAATGGATTCGAGCTAAACAGAGGTGGTCCACCCGCCTGCTCGAAGAATGGGCGAGGGGCGGGCGGGGCTGCTATTTCCATGCCCGATCGGCGAGCGGGTCGAGCCTTTGCGAGAGGGTTCGGGCCCGGCTCATCAATAGAATTTTTGCAATATTTTTAATATTCACACACGTATAAAGTAATAGGCTATGTATAACCTATTTTCTATTAGATCCTTTTATCTTAATACGTCTAAAATATTGCATAACATAGGCTAGGCTATTGCCTAATACCCTTAATAAAAATTAAAAAAATGCGTTTTTATAAATTTTACAAACTAATTATATATGCAAGTCAAAAGTGAGATTTGTCTCGCTTCTAACTTTTCAGATTTGCCCTTCATTATCAAAGATGTTTTAAAGGAAACAACTCCTTTTTGTTCTCTACTATAATTTATTCTTTCAAAGGCTAAAATTCTAAAAGCGTAAAAAACGAAGAACTACCCTCTAATTTTCTAAATTAGAAAACTATTCACTGCCTTTAAAAAAAGAAGGATTGTTGTTAAGTCTATCACTAGTGTAACAATTTCTTTAAGAATTTCTTTAAACATTCATTGTTGGATATGTGACGTGTGCCTTTAGAATTAGTTTCCTAACTAAATTCTTTCACATGTCAACCACAAGATGAATGTGTATATCATTGTTTACTTCGGCAGTGGACTTAGTAAAAATTCGAAAAAGAAAAGCTACACAAATTCATTCACCAAACGCATACGGCACGTGTCGGTTTGCAATAATATTCAAAATGGCAGTTTTATGTCCTACTTTTCAAATGCAATTATTTTAATTATAATTTTTAGAATAAAAAATGGAATAGTTGGATATTAACTTATATAATTTAGCCATAATAATAATTTTTTTAACAGAAATAATTTTCAAAAGTATTATTAAAGATAGAGTTCACGGGTTTTAATTTGTTGCACTATAATAAATAGCATCTACATCACAATTTGAAAAGAAAAAAATATTAACTAATGATTCAAGATATGTAATCTCGACTTTTTTTATATCTGTAAACGATGGATGAAGAGATATGCTCTCGATTTCTAAATAACTTTAATTGATATTGCCTATTTTAAATATAGTTTCTTAAGAATTTTTCTACAAATAATATAAATTTTTTACCATTCCCCTTAATGAAAATTTTTCCATGAGAAAATTTGAACTAAGTTCATTCAAGGAATTTTTTTTTGTACGAAAAGGGCGTCGTAAATCTACTATCCATATTTTATTACCTAATAAAATATGAAGTAACTTTCTATGAGGAAATAAAAAGGATATAATATCTAAGCGCTTACCTTTCAAGATTAGCAAGCCAGTTGTTTTTTTGATCGAAAAGCCAGTTAGCAAAGCGATTTTCTTCCAAAAAATATAAACGATTATTTTTAGAAAAATATTTTTCAAAACCATTCATTTTCTAAAAAACAAACGCACCATAAATTAAAAATATGATCATTCAAAAGCCTCACCATCTCTCTGATACCACATCTCCTACAATGAACATTATTAATGATTCAAAACTACGAATATGAGTATGCTATAGAAAGCGTGGGCTAAGAAACTAGTTTCTAGTGCTACAAGCAAAGAATAGAGAAAGCAAACTCTCTAAAAAGCTAATAATTACGCAATATGTATTGACATTTGGATTGATAGAAACTATACAGCATGTGTACTTTTCTTTTTTAACAAATCTCGTATTGATAGTTTTATTTTTACCAAGTATTAGCTACTCATATTGACGGTGATAGAGGTGAGATATGTAGAAGAAAAGGTTACATAGGCTGTGTACCCAGTATTCTCCTTGAAATTTTAATCCATATTTGTAGGCACAACATATTATAGAGATTATCGTTAGACCCCTAGAAAATTGTGTTATGTGGCAATTTCTATCAAATAAGTAAAAAAAAATCTCTCTTCTCTCCCTCTGCATTGCCTAGTCCTACCTCTGCACACAAGTCATGCACATTATTGCGAAAAGCAAATGATCAAACAATAAAATAGATAGAACAAGAAAATAAATCAAACATCAGATTTATGTGATTCGTTTGGTGTGACCTACTTCACAAGGAAAGCAATATAAAATTTCACTATAAATCAAGGACACAACAAAACTTACAATCACAATGGACTCTCCCTCTCTCTCTCTCCCCGTGTGTCCCTCCTCAAGTCCTCATTACCTCAGGTCAAGCTCGATATGAGGACGTAGTGGCGCATTATTGAGGCTAGAAGCAGTAAGGAGCTGATGGTGAAAGGGGTAAGACGTCAAGGGTGGTGAAAGAAATGCTCAGATCTTATCTAAGCGAGGGAGAGGAGAGAGTTGATGAAGGCGAATGACAAGGTGGCAACAAGTGATATAGCTGTGTCATGCAAAACCGGGGTTGGTGGCAGTTTGGGATGGCATCAAGGGGTGACCACCGGGTTCGCTTCAATTAAGAAACTGGATTGAGCCAGTCTGGACCGTTGGGTGCAAGGCTGGTTCAAGAGAGAACCGATTCTCAGTTGCGTGAACCTAGGATTGGCCCAGGTTTAGTTCGGTTCCCTATTCCAAGGCCAGAACCATCAATTATATCCAAAACCGGTTCAATCAGTTTGGTTCTCGAGTTGAATTGATTCTAAATCAATATCGAAGCCTCTTTTAGAAAAAACAAAAGACAAAACTTTAGCACCCATAAAATATTGAATTATGGTATTCAACATCAACAAACAGCAACATAAGCATTTGACCAACAAACGGTTTTGTAGTTAATTGGCACAATTTTTATGTTTTATTATAAGAATTTGGTTGAAAAGATAAAATGGGCTAGTGTCTCAAATGGACCGGAACCGGTCGGTTCAGCTTTCGATTTCAATCTTTTGGGAGTCGCAAGGTCAGTTCCTAATTCTAGGCCGGAACAAACCCACTATTGAATCGATCATCCCAAGCGGCATTGTGTAAGGATGGGGTTTTAATCTCTCTGATTGCAGAGAGAGAGTGTGTGTGTGTGTTTTACCAATGTGAAAATAATATACAAGAGAGTACTTTTTGCTCACCTTGAATTGTCCTAGTGATAAGGGTATTCTCATGCTTTCAACTTAGGAATAAAAAATATGGATTCGATTTCTATCCTAGAGAATTTATATTTGAGTGGGTGCTATGACAATGGGTTACTGTGCAATTTTCACTCCAAGTAACCGACTAATTAAGGTCGTCTCATTTGATTATTAAAAAAAATTAACCGAATATTAATCCAAATTTGGTTAGGCCAACTTTTTCCGATATGTTGCACTGTCCAAATGGACACATATATGGTGCACTGTTTAAACTATCACCATATCATCTTAAATTTAGCTCGCGGGTTCAACTGAAAAGATCTTAGTAACGTAGTTTGAGGAACAAAAGAGTAGTATTATGCACATATAGGTAGTGGCCATTGTTACTCTAAAACTCCGTTTATTTCGCGGAAAATGTATGATTTGAAAAATATTTTTCTAAAATGATATTTTATATCCCTTCAAAAATTGAATAAATGAAAAATATTTTCATCATCGACGAAAATGTTTAGACATAAATTGTTATCATTGATGAAAACACTTTCCATTGACTAATCATTTCAAGCGACACAAACGACCATTTTTAGAAAAATGTTTTTCAAATTATTCATTTTTCGCGAAATAAACGGAGCTTAAAAGGAAAATATCGTGATTCAAAACACCATCCCATGGTATCCAAATGGAAAGCTTAAATGCTCACGATCACCGATATATGAAATCACAATCATTGAAGTATCTGGGACAAAATATTAAGTACCTTAGTAGGCAAGAGATGTATTTAAATTGAAAATTTCGATGATAGACCCACTAACAAATTAGATAACTTGGCAAATTACATATACGTGGTTTCTTGACATTATCTACAAGAACCAGAAATCATCAGAACGCAAAGTGTGATGTGTGTAGTAGTCCATAACTATTAGACCTTCCCATTCATATATATATATAACTAGAATCATTAGATCAAGGACCGTAAAACCTAGCGATAATCCAATTGATCAACCGACTTATCCTCACTCGGGCGAGAAGTCCGACATAGCCATGCCTTCGGAGAGTGCGTGGAGCTTAGAATTCCTAATGGGTATACCCTCGACCCGATCCGAGCTTTTCGACTTCCCCGCCCCATCGTCGATTCCGCCGGCGTCCACCACAGGCGGGGACGACACGGTGCGCCTCAGCTCCCTGAGCTTGCGACGGCCGTTGCTCCTCCGCCTTCTCTGCCGCGGCGGTGAGCAGGTCTCTGGTCCAGCGACCTCCCTGAGCTTCACTCTTCCCAGGGTGTTGATGAAGTCCAGGAACTCGATCACCGTCTTCTGGTGCATGTAGAACGTCGAGACAGCCACGAACGATGCGCCCGCCAGGGCTGCCATGGCCAGATGAAATCTGTATGTAGTCATGTGGGGAGTTACGCTATGTCGAGAGTGGATTCTGCTAGGTGTTTTGTGTGTGTATAAACGAAGGGTGCTCTATTTTAACTGGACAATATAGGCTGGCCTCAGAATTTAAAGACCCAAAAGCTGAGGGTAGAATGGATTCCTCTCTTGTTGTATGCGTTTGCGTACCCATTCTTTCACACGCGTGAACGCACAGATTCTTGTCCAGCCACACGTGTACTTTTGTGAATATTTCTTTTGGCCAGCATATACTCATTGGGAGGAATTTTGTTTGCCTTAATTTGATGACTTGTATATTCTCACATGGATATAGTTTCAATTCGCATTACCTGGGGAGTTAATCCCATGTCATTGGCTTACAGGTGAAGGAGCTGACATATGTGCGTGGACTAGATACATGACACAAATTCGATATCCCACGCCACCAAGGCAATTCCATTTTTTGAGACACACCCTCTTGGTTTAACTAGCTTCTTACCTAGTTCATGAGATTAGTGTGGGTATTTCGTAAGCTTCAAAATTTACCTACCTAAAAAAAACGGGAAAATTACCGTATCAATTATAAACTTATTGTACGGATGCAGATTCAATCCTACACTTTTTATTTTTGCCAATTTAGTCCAAACCTTCGCACGAAATATCAATATAGTCATTCCGGTCAATTTTCACTGAAAATCGCTGATATGGCGATCCAATAGTTATCCTAAATGACACATCGCAACGTCAATGATTTCCAGTGAAAATTTATTTGAAGGACTATGGTGGAATTTCATATAAAGGTTTAGGATTAAGTTAGCAAAATTGAAAAGTTTAGAATTTAATTGATATCCATATAATATGTTTAGAACTAATTGGATAATTTTTCCAATTACTCGGAAACAGAGAAGTTTTTAATTGTATAACCTAAACTTGCTTTAAGTTAAGTGAATTACATATCATTAATTAAGGTGGATTCACATGATTATTATCTATTTCATTACTTTAGAATGAGACCGGAAAGCACGCATATGTTCGGATTTAGCGTCGATGATGCTGGTAAGTCAGTAATTATGATAACTTTTCATTCATTTTCTTGTTACTTATCTTACAGGAATCCGACGCTATAAGTCTATAACTGTGAGCAAAGTCAATGCAATTTGGGAGTATATCTCATTGTCATCACCAATATTGTATGAGAGCGTCTACTAAGGAATTTGATAGGGATGCACATTAGGGTTGTGTTTGACTAACCAGAGGCAGATATACATGCTATAACAAAACTTGGAAGAAAATTGCTAAAGAAAAGTATGAAAATTAAATTAGATCTCAAGAAAAAAAATCGGCTATCGATCGCAATTTTACTCTTTAAATAAAATCTTTAGCATACATATGACCTGCATTTATCATAACTTCACTGGCAATTATTGTTGGGAAGTGTGCAGTAGAAGTCCGATACCTTTGCAGGAGATCATCAAGGAGAGCTTGTCAACACTCAAAAGCTTAAACCAATTAATTCTGATATCATTTGTCGGAGAGGGCGCAATAAAAACCCGATACCTTCACTTGAGGATATCACTAAGGAGAGCATAAGCCTGAGCCTTTCAACATATTCAGTTGAATCCACGTTCACTCAAAATCTTGAACCAATGAATCATAGGCCAATTAAGATGTATTAATTGCTCCACATTGTATCAATTTTTCGATGTGGGACTTTTCAACACAACTCGCACATTGCATCCCAACAATAATTTATCAAATAAAAATATATTTAGTAACTTGGTGGACATTGAGGCCAACATCCAACTGTTTTGAGTGGTGGACAGTATCTAATTCTCTCGAAGCATATGGGCATATAACGATCACGAGAAGTAAGGAAGTTGTGAAAGAAACAACGAACAAATGGGAAAGATCCACGTTCTATTTTAAGGAAATCAATTAGTGGACGGAGCATCCGGCCAAATTCTTCTACTTGCCAAGTTCCTCTTTTATGGGACGGTGCCTAATTGTATCTCCGGTAGATTTTGTTTACGAAAATTCAACATAGAATCGCATAAACTTAGGTTCTCGTCATGTCAACTATCGACCTTTTTGTTTTTGCCAACCATGTCAATAGAATTGAAACTCGAAAGATCTCGGTAAAATTAGACAATCGTTCTGAAATCTATCGTACATAAATCAATATAATCTTAAACATTTTAATTGAATCAATGTAGCCCTATACCTTTGAGGAAAAGTGCAATCAAGTCCTTTCGGACAAGTTTCGCCTGATTTATCTGATGTGGCAGTCTAGTCATTGCCGACCTACATGTGACGTGAACTAATTCTCAGTGAAACGTCGCCGTTATTGGCTAGACGGTAGCGTAGTTTCTTGGTCTTGCTTAATAGTCCAAATAAGCCTCAAAATCCGCCCATCCCCAAATCATTTCTCATTTTCGAACCCTAATTCCCCTGAGAATGTGCTTCTTCATTTCCATTATGCACTACAGAATTTCGCCATACCTGACTTTTTCTTGCTGCTTTTTCTGCCTGAATTATGTTGCTCATTCAATTGCCAAAACTTAAACAACCTATTCTAAGTTGAAATTGTTGAATCCTTGCGATGATTATTCGACTAGTATATTATGATAATCTGTAATTGCTCTTGAATAATCCAACAAATCAAGTAATTGGGTTGGGAATAATACAACAATATGAGTAAAGGAACAAACTTCGTAGGACATATTACGTTAATTTCTTATTGAATCTGGGGGAACACACTGCTAAGATCTAGTTAGATCAACATCTAAACGGATCGGCCGCTAGAATGCTTAAGGCTACGCATGGCAACCATTCTGTGCCTGGGAACAGATTCTGGTCAGAAATGATTCTTTTTTATTCTGTGCCCGGGAACTGATTCTAAGCATTTGAAGGCGTTTGGTAACGGCCTAAAATTTCTATTCCTGAAATAGTAAAAGAATAGAAATGCGTTTGGTAACGGCATAAAATTTCTTTTTATTAATAATATTTTAATAACATTTTAAATATTTTAATATTTCTTTCTTTTCTTTTTTTCTTCTCCTCCTTTGCCATGGCCGGTAAAATATTTTTTAATTAATAATACTTTTATTAAAAATAATTTTTTTATTTTTTTTTGCCATGGCCGGTAAAAAATTTTCTTATAAATAATTTTTTTATTATTAATTTTTTAAAAAATATTTTTTTCTTTTTTTTCGCCATGGCTTGGTCGCTGGCAATGGCCGGTAAAATATTTTTTTATTAATAATATTTTAATAAAAAATATTTCTATTGAAATTATTTTTTTTTGCCATGGCCTGGTCACTGGCCATGGCCGGTAAAATATTTTTTTATAAATATTTTTTTATTAATAATATTTTAATAAAAAAAATTTTATTGAAAATATTTTTTTATTTTTTTTGCCATGGCCTGGTCGCTGGCCATGTCGGCAAAATTTTTTTATTAATAATATTTTTTTATTTTTTTTTGCCATGGCCGGTAAAAAATTTTTTATTAATAATATTTTTTTATTTTTTTTCGCCATGGCCGGTAAAAATTTTTTTTATTAATAATTTTTTTTTATTAAAATATTTTAATCTCGGCAGATACGACGAGGGTGGCCCTCGCGTCGGACATTAGAAGTTATATAAAAAACCAAGAAAAAGAAAAAGAAAAAAAAACTGATTCTCATTTTTGTTCCAAGAATCAAGAAGCTATTTTTTTTTTTTTATTCTTGATTCTGCTCCAAAACTGTTTCTGGGCACAAATTCTTGCAAATTTGTGCCCAGAATCAAAAAATTAAACAAACGGATTTCTATTCCCAAACTGATTCTAGGAACAAAAAAACAGAATCAAACACTATTTGGCAAGTTGCCATGCGCAGCCTAAATGTACACCAAATCATCCAGATTCGTTCTTTCTTTATTCCAATTCTCTTCCGAAATATCAAACGGGGAAAAGGTTTTAGGGCAAGGTTAATGAGGAATATAAACCTTACAGATATGCTTTTATAGGAAATAGAGATAGTGATATGCGAGTAATATTCTCTTAAAGATGTTGCATAGCTTAGATAAAGCATGCGACGACATCCATCTTATACGTGAGATAATAGTATCTGCGTTTGGTGGCAACTTTTGTTCTCCATCACTGTCACTAAAAGGTCTAGTTCTAAAAAGTAATTCTCAATGTTGTGCAAATACATATGCCGTTGAATTTTTCATTATAAAATTTAGTTAATGTAATCCGTTTCCCACAAACTTCATTTACAATGTTTCTTAGTTGAGTGTTTCGGGAAAATTACCAAAAAAGTCATAAACATATTGCAATTGGGTCAATTCAGTCCTAAACTTTTTTTTTGCCAATTGAGTCATCAATCTTTTACATTTGTGCCAATTCAGTCTATCCGGACAATTTTGATCGGAAATCGCTGACATGGACGCTAGCTATCTTACGTGGTACGGCCGGCACCGACGTGGATTTTATAAAATAATATTTTAATATTTTTTCAAATATTTTATTAAATTTTTCTTTACTTTTTCTTTTTTCCCTAAACTTTTTTTTGCTACGTTTAAGACTCAATTAGCAAAGAAAAAAAGGTTTAAAACTGAATTGGCACAATTGCAATAGTTTATGACTTTTTTGGTAATTTTTCGTGAGTGTTTTCAGTAGGGGTGATTGGTTCTGGAATGAGTCAATTCCCACCCCAAAACCTGGACTGGACAAGATCGATTCTAGGTTTGTGGAACCAGCCCACCTGGTCTTGGAACCGGATCGTCCGAACTGGTCTGATTCCCTAGTGGGTCCAAGAACCAACGGATTAGTTATTTTTTTTCCTCTTCTATTCCCTCCAGGCCTGTAAGTGTGTCTCGCTCTATGCAAGTTGTCATCCTCGAATTAGTTATCTTGCCTATGCAATCATTGTGTTTCACACCTGTTTGGAAGAAAACCTTAGCAAAACGATTGTTAAAACATAACATATTACCTGAAGTAAGCCTTAAGAAAGGAATTAGTTGTGCAAGCATAGCAGCGTCTCGAGTTCATTTTCTATAAACTCACGGATATCCAAATGAATGTTGGTTAATAATTGTAAAAAAAAAAAACTATTGATCTAGTCCGGGCG